GACAAACAAGACATGCAAACTTTGGCCACTCAGAAGAATGTTGAAAATCAGATAATCTAGAGAGTTACTAAAATACCAGAAGCTGGAAAGAATGAAATTTACTCTGTAGATTTGCAAGCACAGGAGTGACCATCCAAAGTAGGAGTCAAAAACTAGAGCTCACAAACCAAATCCAGTGTGGCTCAAGAGCTGAGAATGATCTTTAGATTTTAAATGGCTGAAAAAGATCAAAAGAAAAATATACTGAATGGCATGGGAAATTAAATGAAATTCAAATTTCTGTGTCCATAAAGTTTTACTGTAATACAGCCACACCCATTAGCTTAGTATTGTCTAGGGCTGTTCCCAGGCTACAAAGGCATAGTTAAGTAGTCCAGTCAGAGACCATATGGCCCACAAAGCCTAAAATATTTACTACCTGGTCCTTTATAGAAAAATTTGGCTGATCCTCTGATATAAATTCTGGCTTTGACATTTAGAAAAACCTGAGAAAGATAAAAGGTAAGAGGAACTTTGTGAAAAGTTATCTAGGATCGGTGCAATCAGGATCAGTCAATTCCTTGGCCAAATATACCTGATCAAGGCTCTGTTGAAGCTGCAAGCAGATTCTTCTAGCATAGTTAATTTCCCCTGGGAAATGTTACTCAAAAAGCCAGGGAGTGAAGAGGACACTGAAAGGCACAAAAAACTCTCTGCATGACTCCAAACGAGGAGTAATATTCAATTCCACATGAGTTGAGGTGGTAAAGAGTGGATTTAAAGGACAGAAAGAGTTCAATGAGGGTTCACTTACATTTCTTCCCTCACAAAAACCTGGGGTGTGAGAGGGAATCAAAGCCATACTTTTATAAAATTTGCCAAGAATACTAAATTGGGACATATTGTAAACATCAGTGACAATGGTATAATTCTTTGAGTCCAGAATGTAAACTACAGTTTCAATTTTATGATGTGTACCAAACAGCACTCCATGTGTACAAAACAAATGGATGCACAATCTCCAACGTTTTACTAGAAAATGTCTGAGAAATAGTAAATTCTTGAGCACATACTGCACATGATGAACTAATTAACCCTCTTTGAAACATGATGTGGTGGACATGGGGATTTATGTCTTCATTTTCCAGATGAGAAAATGGAAAAGAAAGGAAGTTATCCGACTATGGTCACAATGCTGGGGGAAGGCGGAATCTCAGAGTCCTGAATTTTAACCTAGCCCGTCCACAGTGCACTTTCTCAACCGGCTCTAACCTCATCTGAAAATTGATTTTTAAAAGAATGGGAGCTAGGGTTCACCACCTGTTAGGAAGGCAAAACGAAAAGTGCATATACATAGAAACGCATGTTTGTTTGTTGATGTAATAATTTTGACAGTGATGATGTATGTAATTTGTAGACCCATCATAAAAAGTCAAAACTGGAAAGGCATATGAAAAATATCTAGGGGTGGGGTGCCTGGGTGGCTCAGTGGGTTAAAGCCTCTGCCTTTAGCTCAGGTCATGATCCCAGGGTCCTGGGATCAAGCCCCGCATCGGGATCTCTGCTTAACAGAGAGCCTACTTCCTCCTCTCTCTCTCTCTCTGCCTGCCTTTCTGCCTACTTGTGATCTCTGTCTGTCAAATAAATAAATAAAATATTTAAAAAATATATCTAGGGGCGTCTGGGTGACTCAGTCTATTAAGCATCCAACTCTTGGTTTTGGCTCAGGTCACCATCTTCTGGTCATGAAATTGAGCCTGACATCAGGCTCCACACTGAGCATGAAGCCTACTTGGGATTCTCTCTCTCTTCCTTTCCCTCCACCCTCACCTACCCCACTCATGCTATCTCTCTCTCTTAAAAACAAAAAACAAAACAAAACAAAACAAAAAAAAAAAACCCTAACTTACGTCCCTTATCTTACAGACAGAGAAAACTGAAGTCCAAAGAGGAAAATTAATTATTCAAATCCAGACAACTAAAACCCCTCTGAGCCCCTCTATTGGTGTGTATAGGCATCACCTTCCTTTGATTTCCTGGCCTTTTAGATGGCATTCAATATGCCTTCCCCTGTCACTTCCCTGGTCATGCCATCACCCCATCAACTAGCTGATTCTCCTCATGCCTGTTTCTAGCCCACAGAACATCCTCCAACTGCACAAACATGTATGCACACACACAAACACACACACACACAAAGTTTTCCTCAACCAGATTTTAGTGATTTTATCCCCATGGCTTAGCATCATTATTTTTTTTAATATCAAAATATGCAGATACCTCCCTGACTAGCCTAATCCTTACCCCAAACTCCCAGAATTACTGACAATGAGAAAATATGAGGCTCCCTCTTCTTCCACCTCCTCTATAGGAAAATATGGCTAGATTACAATTGACTCTGTGCTAGGCCTTGCCCCAATGACAGCATTAAAGCCTCATGCTTTATGAACTACCAAAGCTAGAAATGGATTTCTGTCTGATGTGCCAGGCTTTTAAGTCTTGTACCTGTGCCCAGTCCAGAGATTTTTGAAACCATGAATAAAGTGGTAATCAACACTCTGAATAAGTCTGACTTAACTGACAACAACAAACAAATGAGGAAAAGAAAGATTTGTGTTCCCACTCTCTCCAAGACAGGTGGAATTCCAAGTTTCAACAAGGCAGATTCAGAATCACTTTCATAAAGGCCACTGGGGTGATAAGGACACATTGTAAAAATGAGGGAAAAAAACAAATCAATAAATGTTCTCTGTGGATAATAAGACAACCCCTTGCCTTCAAATAGAGATAATGACAGCAGTAAACTCCAGCCAACAAGCTTTACAGATGGAAGGAGAAAGAAAATGCCTTTTTTTATTTGCTTGTGGTGTGTGTGTTTGTGTGTGTAAACCACCTTCTCTTATCCCTCAAAGATTCAGGACCGGAACCTGGGGGTCATATTCCAAAGGAAACAAGAGGCTTCGTAGCTTTCTAAACAATCCATTTGTGACTTTTCATATTTCAAGCAGTCAAGGGTATTTGGACCCCTGAGCTCACAGAGGCTCATTTTCTCAAAGAAAATATTACCAAGTTTCCCTAACTTGAGTGATTCTAAGGTCTAGAGCATTTTGAGATCTTGCTGAATTTCCAAGTATTCTTTAAGTTGAGTGATTACCCCTTTCCGCTTCCTTATTCTCAAATAGCCCAAGATCCACATCATCGTGCAGCTCTGCCAGCTGCCATTCTGCCTTTCTCCCTTCTTCAGCCCCAACTTCTGAAGAAAGCTCCCATGTGGAATATGTTATGACAGCAAAATATTCCCTTTTACAATATGTTTGATCACTTTCCCTGTTTTCCAAAAACAGTATCGTGACGCAGATTTGTAAAACCCAGAGGCAGCATTAAATACAACCTAATCTATCTGACTATTCAATTTGCTTTCTCAGTTGCTTACTTGAACTCTTTCCCCAACTGATATAGATGCTCTTCCTGTGTTTCCTGGGCTTACTGACACACTATCTCTAGATGGGTGCTCTGGTTTATTCTCTGCTCTATAGGCAGGACCTACTGGATGATGGGGGAAGGGGAGGAAGCAGATTCTCACTGGGGAAATTGAGGGTGATCTGATGTGTTCAGACTGTTCCTCACTTTCTTTTCTGACAGGCATCTTTCCGTAAGTACTCTTAAGAAAGGCAGGAACTGATCTCTGTGTCTCTTTCTAAACTGCCTAGGGACAGTACTGGGGCCCTGGACCTTATACTAGCTCAGTTTGTGCAGAAGCAATAGGCCACTTGGGGGTATGGAAGGAACATGCACCATGTTTTCAGTAATACTAAAAGCTGGCTGTCTCCTTGTTGCTTTGGGGACTGGAAGAAAACAAAATAACAATTTTCTGTTTTATAGCTATTCCTGCCACCCATCTAAAATGAGGAAAAAGCAATCACCATTCCAATTGGCTGCCAATGGGAAAACCAGAAAAGGACACCTGTTTTGCACCTTTTCTCCAGATGCCAAGAACTCCCTGTTGCTTCTGTTATCCTCTGAGGGATGCCCTTAGATTTCTGGTGAAAAGTGTGGCTTATATACCTGCCACTTTTATGAGTGTTCACAGGGTTTGTTGTCCTTAACTAAGGAAATGCTGTTTTGGTTCTGACTTGGAACTCAACATGTCTAGGCCAGGGAGGGGGTAGGAAAGGCTTTGTCAGGGAGTATTTCCCTTGTGGAAAGTGGATATAGGAGTAGATGCTGGTGTTTGACAACAGGGTTTGCCCCCAGAGCAGAATAGATCTGTCTAGGGGCTGCTTATCAGTGTCCTATTGAGAAAAGAAGCCCTTATTACAGGATGGAGGATGGAGTGGATGAGTAGGAGATTTGAGGCCAGGTTGATTGTGAAGGAAGGAATCATTAGCGTACATGGGAGGTCTATAAATGGTAGTTCTTATTGTAGGATCTATGGAAAGAATAAAAGTATTTTGTCATTCTTGATCTTTATTTACTTGGGGGCTACTAATGCAAAGAGGGCCCAAGGAGGCAGTAGCAGGAGGGAGCAGGTGCACAAACCGATGGTCCCTGAACAGCAACAACACTTCCTTTCTGAGGCTGAGGCCGAGGAGACTTTGTGACAGAACAGTCCCATATACACTACAGAGAATAGGTGGGGACTCAGCTGGGGTTTCTCCACTTCTAACTTCTCTAATAAAGACATTTTGTCCCCTCACTACACAGCAGAATGAAACACAAGCAGGGAAGAAATTACAACTTTTCAAATCATTGATTTTCTTCCATTCTTAGGACCACCCCAAGCTCTAAACAAAAGGTAGGATCACTGTTATTGACTACATTGTCTGTACTACCAAGGTTGCCAAAGCCAGGGGACAAGCAAATATAAAAACTTTCTTCTTTAGGTTCTTAGGTTCTTTGAGAGGGTCCTGCCAGTGACTTTGTCTCTGAGACGATAAAATCCTGGGCTCAGGAAGACTGGTGTCTCTCTATATAAGATAAAGGAGAAAGGGAAAAAGATGTGAGTGTGCAAGTCCCTTTACCTTCAGCAGCCCTTTTAAAGAAGACTTTGCAGCTTCCACAAGTGAGAGCTCCATAGTGACAGCCAGAAGCTTCATCGCCACAAATCAGGCAGGTCTTCTGGGGTGGGAAGTAATAGTCAATGGGTAGAACATGATCTCTGGCAGTCTCCAAACTGAAAAGACACATGAGAAACAATGCAATAATTGTCAGTAGTTGGCAGAGATAAGAAGATAGAAGTCTGAGGTCTTCAGGAGCAAGCTACATGTGTAAATTATTAACTTTTATGAAATAAAATTATTCCTTACTTAATTGAGTCAGTATGAAGCTGATTTTTTTCTGGTTCTTCTAGGGATGATGTTTATAGGGTGTCTTGTCATGTGGACAGAACCTTTTGGAACCCTGCTAAGGAATTCAAGAAGTTCTCTGGGATCAGCCAGTCTCATGGGCTAAGTTTACATGAGGGAAGGATGAAGACAGAAACCTGAGGTTAAAGTATCTAACTTAGGGTGGTTCTGGCAACAATTTCAGAGCAGTTAAATGGTCTGAACCCGGCTCTATGGCCTTACCTTATCCAAAGGGAGATCGAAGGCAAAAAACGTCTAAACAAAACAGTTTGGTATGCTTTTCTCTAGTTCTCTGAGCCTCACTCTCACCTGTCAATAACATTGCCCATCCTACCGAACTACTGTTCTAAGTGGCAGTATAAATTGTATAAAGGATAAAAATCCTTTAAAATGAATACACAAGTGAGGGATCATGATTTGTATTATCATTCTGGTCTGATTTGTTCTCCACCCCCACCAGTTCCTTCACTTTGTTTAGCCATCTCTGTAGATCACATGAACATCCCCTCCTCTTCATTCTACAACATAAAGTAGCAGAATCCTTTATGCCTGAGGCTCTTGTTGGGAAGTGATACACAGTAATGCTGGAAATTTCTCAGGCTACCATCTCAACACTTGGCCATTAAAATACTCATAGGGTCCTTAGGCTAGGATGGAGCTTCAGGGATCACCTAATCTAAACTTCCTATGTCTGAAGAAGATCTGTGTCTGAGTCCTTTCAGGTAGATGTGAAGGAGAGGGTCAGAAAGCCAATCCTGAAGCTTTAATAGAAGTGTAATTCTGAGTCTCCCATAGTAATTAATTCAAGATTAAACAAATGAAACATGGTTCTTCTAGGCAAAGGTCAAATTTTTTCTCTCCTATGCCCTATGTCTAAACATTGAACAAGATTCAAATGACCTCCTGGGTTAATCTGCCTAAGGTAGATGGTAGTTGTCCATATTCTCATCTACAGGAATGTAACCATACTTTTTATGAGCACTTCTTTATAAAGGAAAGGAAAGGAAAGGAAACGAAACGAAACAAAACCTTAATGGCAGCCTATTTGCTGTGTTGGATAATTTCTACACTTCAAAACAACTCTGATAAATATTTTTTTCTTTTATTACATCATATGAAGAAAGATTCAGAGAGGTGAACCCCAAAATGATTTGACAGCAAGTCCAGGATATTTGGCTGCAAATCCAATACAGTTCCCATTACCTTATCATCTTCCTGCCACTCTCTCACTTTCTACACATGGCTCTTTGATTATCATGCTCAGCATAGTCATCAGAATAAAAAAAAGCATGAAATGTTATCCTCCCCTTAATAAACACGGATCAGCCCTGGCAGGGCAAAAGCAAAGAAAATTTAGCACTTTACCTCTAAGACACAAATATCAGTCTTTATTCAAGTCCCAAGTACAACAGAAACCACTCAAAATGTTTAGCTGATATGCAAACCCAGCAGCTGGCTATGGTGGCCTATATCCCCACCACCCCCACCTCACCACAGGCTCTCCCTTTCTTAACCTGACTTTGGAAAGCCAGCAGGAGTTTGTGCACCAAAACAAGACTAGCAGGACCACAAATTCCACAGGCAAATAGCTCACTTTCCATATATAAATAGGCCAAATATTAAAAGCATCATCCCTTTGGCTAAAAATGTCATTTTCTTGGGTTAAAAAAATGTATTCCCATTCTCATTCACAAAACAAGGAGAAGCAGAAGTTTTTTGTTTTTATTTTTGCAGATGTCTTCATCCTTTCCCCCCTTTTTTTTTTTTTAATTTCTGGAACTAATGCAAGACATTCAAATAAACTAAAAAAATGTATTTAGGCACTTTATGTGCCAGGCCATTTCATATATATCATCTCATTTAGTCTCCCCTCAAAGCCATGCCAGGTAGCTCTGTATCATCTCTATATCGTAGGAGAGGAACCTGATGTTCAGTAAAATTGGACATGTTCAAAATCACTTGTCTCATAACTGGAAATGCCAGATTCCATCCTAGGTAAGTCTGACTCCAAAGGGCTGATTCACAACCCATGACTAACTATGTTATAAAATTGAAGGTTGAAATGAGATAGATTAACTCAACTCCTAGCACCTAGCCCTATGAACCAAACAAAGGGCTCGGAGCTGGGGATATTGTGACAATCAATACATTACATACTTCCTCTAAGAAACCTATTATCTAGTAGAGAAGACAGACGGGAAGTAAGAAACTGTAAAATAACATAGTAGATAATATAATAAAGCAGAGTACAGATTACTGCAGATAAGGAAGCACCTCAAAGATGGGAATATTTTTTGAAAGTTATAAAAGTATATAGGGGTAAATGAGATAATGATAAAGACTAATTTTTATCATATGACAATGCAAGGGCCTGGTTGGCCAGAGGGACTCATTTTGTGTTTATGTAGTGAACTTAGATTGACCCTATGCAGTAAACTTAGATTGACCCTGCCCCTCTCAGAGGAACTTACTTGCAAAGCCTAGATACAAGGGCGGGTCAGGCCAGGTGAAGACATCCAATCAGTTGGGTGCACATATATCTACTAGGGTAAATTGAAATTCAATTGGCCACCTGTGTGTTACCTAGCAGTTTTTTTTTTTTTTTTTTCTGTGTGTGGCCAACTTAGCATGACTATGCAGTTTTCTCTCTATTGCAATCTCATTGGCCACCTGTGTATAGCCCGGCTAAACTACCTCTATAAAAGTTAGTCTGTGAGGCTGGGAGGGGTCGCCTCTTTGCAAGAGATGGCCCTGATCGGACAGTTTGATTCTCCATGCTTGGCATGAAATAAAGCTTTGCTTGACCTTCGCTTTGTATCAGTCTCACTCCTTTGATTACGGACCCTAACAACTTGAAAATAAATATTAGATATACAATATGGAAACCTGCATAAATAAGATGTCTTTTTGAAAAGAGCCTTTAAGAAACATACATTTTCGTCTTCTTTATTTTACAATACAGTTCAAATTGTTCGAAATAATCTAATCAAATTTATAGTCAATACTTAAAGACTGAAGAAAGTCATCGATATTTTATTAGATATAAGTTTAATAAAATGCACTATTTAAAAAAAATAACTATAACTATGGTCAACTAATCTTCAACAAAGCAGGAAAGAATGTCCAATGGAAAAAAGCCTCTTCAATAAATGGTGTTGGGAAAATTGGATAGCCACATGCAGAAAAATGAAATTGGATCATTTCCTTACACCACACACGAAAATAGACTCAAAATGGATGAAGGACCTCAATGTGAGAAAGGAATCCATCAAAATCCTTGAGGAGAACACAGGCAGCAACCTCTTCGACTTCAGCCGCAGCAACATCTTCCTAGGAACATCGCCAAAGGCAAGGGAAGCAAGGGCAAAAATGAACTATTGGGATTTTATCAAGAACAAAAGCTTTTGCACAGCAAAGGAAACAGTTAACAAAACCAAAGGTCAACTGACAGAATGGGAGAAGATGTTTGCAAATGACATATCAGATAAAGGGCAGGTGTCCAATATCTATAAAGAACTTAGCAAACTCGGGGCGCCTGGGTGGCTCAGTGGGTTAAGCCGCTGCCTTCGGCTCGGGTCATGATCTCAGAGTCCTGGGATTGAGCCCCGCATCGGGCTTTCTGCTCTCTAGGGGAGCCTGCTTCCTCCTCTCTCTCTGCCTGCCTCTCTGCCTGCTTGTGATCTCTCTGACA